GTGTGTGTGTGAGAGAGAGAGAGAGAGAGAGAGAGAGAGAGAGAGAGAGTTAGTTTGCACATGTGCATGCGTGCACGCACGCAAGCACTGGCTTCTCTGGCCCACTTTGCAAGTACACATGCATGTACATACACAGTCTTTTTTCTCAGGCATGTGCTGTTCCGCATCATATCTTTTTATAAATTTTTGTACAAGCTTTTCTATACGAAATGACAGCAAGTATTTCTTTAAGGTATATTCCTAAAAGTGAACTGGGGTCAAAGGGTATGCACATTTAAAATTATGCTAGAATGACAGAGGTTGCCAACATTCTGACCAGCACAAGTCCCTGTTTTCCCAACCCTCACCAACACTGAATAGGACTCCATTTTTTCGTGTTTATTTGTGACTGCCTCTTTATGTCCTTTGCTCGGTTTTCTGTCAAGCCGCTCATTGCTTATTTCCTTACAGGTTATTTTGAACACAAGCTCCCTCTACACTGTTGGTACTTTCTCCCCGCCTGTCACTATTCTCAACTTTCCTGTGGCATCATTTCCCACACAAAAACTGTAATATTTTATATAGTCATATCTGTCCATCTCTTGTGTCTCCTGGTTCACTAACTGACAGGAAGTCCTGCCCGAGATATGCATTTCCTGTGCACGGCAGGTTGTAGATAACTAACTCCAAGAGAAGGTGCTATGCCAGACGTGCATTCTCCTTGATCATCTTAAAGACAACACCTGGGGCAGGGTGGGAGGAAGGGCTGTGGTGTGGGGGTGGTCAAGGCACCAAGCATTTTAGGAAGGCTGGAGCTCAGAGCCCAAGATGAACAAGGGTGGGAGACAACGAAGACAGAGAAATGGACATCTGTCATCAAATAATACCTCATGCATACTATTTATGATTTTTTGCATCCCATCATGGGCTTTAAAAACTGAACAAGCCTCAAACATAAATCATCCCATAACCATAAACATGTGAAACAGCAGTAAGTGAACTTTGCTGAGAAACAAAAGAATTAAGCTGGTCATTTAAAATCTCCTGACAAAATAAAAGGCAGAACTAGGAACAGACCATGCATTTCCCAACTTCCAGATCTGTAATCAACAGAATCTACCTTTCTAGTTGGACAAACACTCCCACGTGGACCTCAGAGACCATGGATTCTGGGGAAATGCAGCCATCACACCCTGGCCACTGAAGGGAACAGCTCAAAGCAATATTCTGCCGGTCTCTCAGCTCATCTCATCCAAAAAGGACCAGAGACAACTGGTTCTTTTTTGAAAAATGGTGATTTAGACAAAAAATAAAGCACATAATGTTTTCCCTGTCCTAGACGTCTACCTAGACTAAAATTAAGGGGTTAAGAATGGCAACTGAATTTTATCTTTGTAGTTTCAAATTAGTTTTTAATAGGTTCTACACTATACCTTTGAAAAAATTCTCACAGTTTAATTACAATAAGTACTCAAGTAATGAGAGACATGTTTATCATGGACAATTTCTGATTTAGGACAGATGCCTCAAATGCTACCGTAAACATAATTGAGCTGACAGCACCGGAAGGCAGCTGGAGTCGCACGCTGAGGCAAGGGCAGTTGTCTTTGGCTGGCTGAGGGGACAGTGGCCACAGAAAACTGTTCTAAGGGCATTACCCGAGTGACCATGCATCAATAATGCCTGCCTGCTTCCTCGGAACAAACACTCAACACATGTTACAGAAACAGAAAAATATAAAGGCCAAGAAAAAACATGCATGTCGAAAAAAGCTTAGAATGTCACGGTAGGAGCACCCCACAGAAGTGCCATTGTCAATACCAGGCCTCACTGAGTAGCTATTAGATTGTACATATTCTTTAACGAGGAACTTCACTGTCCCTCACTCAAATGATGGACTATGCAGCCAAGGCTGATAAAAATGCTATGACAATATCAAGAATCAATTCACCAACAATGAACAAACAAGCAAATAAATAAAACTGAGCTCTGAAAAAAATAATTGACACAAAGCAAGACAACACAGATTGCATGCTCTGGGCCTAAATACTCTTTAAATTAAGGAGAAAAATGACTACATTTCAACATGTACATAATGACATCAATTTTAATATGAAAATAATTTCTTGACTGCTGTGCCTAAGATAACGAAGCTGTCCCAAAGCAAGTGAGAGGAAGGGAACTGAAGCCAGTTATCGGTAATGCAGGCCGAGGCTCGTTCTGCTTCTCATTTCATCCAGATTGTTAGAGTCCTTCTCCAGCAGGTCAGCCAGGCGTGGGGACTCTATTTACACTTTCCACCTGCACAGCGAACTCTTTACATCGTTAGTTCCACTCCAGGCCTGAAGCCCATCAAATCAGGCCTCCACAGTCTGGCACAGTTCTCCTAAGAGGTCATCATCAAACAACCGAGCACATCCTCCAGGGAAGGAGGCTCCTCTCCGATGAAGGTCCCAGGACCTAAAGACACTTTGTGCCACTACTGAATTCCACAATGCAGCTGCCTGCTCCACGGAGGCTGAGAAACTCTGGTTTGCTGTCTTAACAGTGGAGAGAAGGCACCCTGCAATATGGAGCACACAGCCTGGCAATCAGGCATGTGCACCCCAGAAGAATGAAGCCAACTAACTCTACTTTCAATCTGTCACACTCCTAGGTTTCTTCTCGTAAATAATTTATAAGCAGACATACCGTCTGTCTCTTCTATACAGAGTTAGGAGTGCAGCACTGACCTTTGACATGGCGGTGAAGTGCAGTGGTAAATGTGACAACCCCATACCAGTATCACTGACATGCAGAAATCAGGCTCCAAAGATGGGTGAGCCTGGTTTATTGAAGAGCAATATAAAGGCTTTCCCCGTCCTTCCTCTTAACAGCTCCACTGTTTCTATGTCAACTAGACCTAGAAAGAGCACTCTCTTTTAGTAGTAAATATCATAGTTCCATTCCAGCAAGCTAAAACTCAGAGCTGTTTCTAAGGAAATACAGACGGCTCACAAAGAGAACTATATTACAATGTGATCAATGTAGATGCAGATAAGGGAAGAATGAGAATATAAGCCCGGATTCAGCACTGCTCCTAGCAATTCTGGTAACACCTTCAACAAAGGCAGGCATCAAGGCAGCTGTGGCCAGGCCAGGCTCTTCTGTAAAGGGTACAGAGAAAACATGAGCTCTTCCTTTACTGCAGTTACCAGGCACGCTGGTTTCTCGGGACTCTGCAATCTGTGCTCCTTGGAGCCCTGGTATTCTGTGAGATCTCATCCCATCACTGTGAACTCGGAATGCTGGTACGGGACAAGAGCTGGGCCCAGGAGGTTAGGTTCGCCACCCAGCGCCTTACCTGACTTGCTCCCAGGTCTTGGTGGCCAAATGCAGGACCCAGAGATCCTTGTAGTGGTAAAACTGCTCTCCGTTGGGAGAAGCAAACTCTCCCCCGAAGATCCATAGCTGCCCGCCGCATTGAGGCACCACTACAGCCTATGAAAAGAAAGGTTGACAGGTCAGCGCACAGCCAAACAGCTCTCAGCTGCCTCCACAAGTGGAGACCAAGGTCTGCACTGTCCACTAGAGCATGGCACGTGATAGTCTCGGCCAGCACCCACACTCCTGCCTTTAAGGGGAAAAATCCTGGAAAATCTCTCATTGACGAATTCTCCTAAGCCAAAACCTAATAAAATTACTTTCATGCATTCCTAAGTTGTAAAATGAACATCTACTTATACTCAAGACAACCCTGTATTTCATTAAAATGGACAAAATTGCCAAAAGTTAACAATAGTCATAACACAAATTGATAGAGTATTTTAATTATTAGATATCTAAAATAAAGCTTTTTACCTGCCCTCATTAGTCCCTTTCCTAGCTATTAAGCACTGTACATCTAAAACCGCACACATGAATAAAACGTGTGTAATATGTAATGTTTACATAACATTATTAACATTTATTTTTAAAAGATTTAAACATAACAGGAAGCAGTGAAGACAATGCCTTTTGGGCCACACGCACGAGAAGCTCTAGCACAATAGAGGCCAGAGCAGCACAAAAGCCATGCCGACCTGGCACCGTGCCAATCGGACTTTCCAGACTCACATGTGCATATTTCAAATTATTACTAGGCTTAGCAGAATATCAAAACACTCACAGAACAAATGGTCCATGGGCACATCTCATGAACCAATGTGACTAAAGTAGGGAAATGGCTGAGAATAGGTACTCTAGGGCTCACATCCCACAAGAATTACACTTCACATTCCCAAGGTTACTCACTAATTCAACGAAATTGAAGCAAGAACACCAAACATCCCAGACCCTACATTAGTATCAGAAATATAAGGATAAAAACACACAACTCTGCCCAAGCCATTTTGGTGTTCCTACAGTGACCACATAGTTGAGGTTTCCATCACCCCACTGAAAGCTCCATCTCTATGAGGCGAGGGTAACATTCCAGACTCCAGGCTGGGGATTGCCATGAGAGATCCTTCGTAAGAGAAGAAAAGCAGGTCAAAGCATATGATTTAAAACGCCTTTCCAGAAGAGGAAAATACTACGTAAGGGAATGTCTTTCAGGTAGTCAAGATAAGAGTGGATCTTATTTCACATAAAATAACTTCCATAGCTATATATACAAGAAACACAGATTTGAGGAATTTTAAAGGCAATTCATACACTATCTAGTCTAGAGCTTTTGAACTTATTTGTTGGCTTTTTTTTAAACTGAAGTAAAGACTAAATGGTAACACACATAAAAATGGACTCTTCTCCTAGAACTCTAGGTCAGCCTTCTTTTTAACCAAAACATTCAAATGCTAAGCCCTAACTTCATCTCAGAATGTCCTCCCTGTAGCCGGGGCAGGAGACTTGGGTCAGACGCTGCTGGGTTCTAGGATGCTCCTGAGCATTCTTCTGCGTGAATACCTACCTGCCCTCCA